CTACTAGATGGGGATTTGTATGCAAAATGTCACTAAAAGCGCCATTTCGTTCTTATAAAAGCACGGATCACCGCGATTGGCCCATATGTTGTAGTCTTTTGGACGCTGAGTCGACTGGTTTTGGTCCGAAAAGGCTGCGATGCAGCGTTCCTCCTTTATTCCCAATCGAACATGGTTGAACAAGCGGTCACGTGCTCCTGCGTACACCAGTCAGCTGGTCACCGTGCCTGCAGGGTACAACTTACTAGCCTGTTTGACCTTTTTTGGGTACAGTCCTGTCACTCGAGTTGAACCCGAGTTGAACCTTGGTGTGAAAGTTGTCGCCTGCTGGCGCGGTGACCAGGTGATTTGGGCACCCAGGAGCACGTGACCGCTTGTTCAACCATGTTCGATTGGGAATAAAGGAGGAACGCTGCATCGCAGCCTTTTCGGACCAAAACCAGTCGACTCAGCGTCCAAAAGACTACAACATATGGGCCAATCGCGGTGATCCGTGCTTTTATAAGAACGAAATGGCGCTTTTAGTGACATTTTGCATACAAATCCCCATCTCGTAGGGCGCAGTCACCCAGTTTCGGTGGAAGTGCGCGAGTTCGATTGGGATTCAAGTAGGAAGGGAGCGTCGCAGCTTCCTCGGACCAAGACCATTCGACTCAGCACCCAGAAGACTACAACTGGTGAAAATTTGATTTTAGGGTATACTTCCCCTTTAAGCAGGACTCCTGCTAGTGTGGGCACAAAGGGTGGTCTGAATCTCTCCTCTTGTGATCAAGACTGAGAGAGGACGAGAGAGAAAGAGAGATAGAGACTTTGAGTGTGAAGACTTGATTCTGTGAAGGGTCGGGCCACAGTTGCTGGCCATCAGGATATTACAGACAGGGTGAAGAGACAATCTGTATTGTGTGACAACGACTGCCAAACTGGCATGTTGTTATCTTATGAACTAACTCATGGCAGTAAGAAGGCAATGGTTCTGTTGATCATGCTGTGTCACTGTCACTGAGTGTGTGCCAGCTGCAAGCACAAGTAGACGACTTACAACTGGTTACATGTACATGGAGGGTCACAATCCTACTATTGTGTAGCTGAAGTGAAGAGGGTACGGTCGTCGGCCATGGGGTGCACTTGACAACCCATTTGCTGTCACTTCAACTCAATCACTCTCTCTCAACTACTTCGGTTCCCTCGCACTGTTCTGGCACAAGACCGACTATCAACATACGACTCGCACTTTCATCATGGAATTTCAGGGAGAGTCACCACGATACATTCAAGTGCTTGCCTTCCAAGTACATTTAACATGTCGCGATGTGCACCGCGTTAGTAAGTTGCTAGTACTTCAGAAAGGTCAGTAGTATTCACGTTCTACAGTTCAAATATCACAGCAAATGTCAGCCGATACAGTAAAGGCTGTTGCGTCTTACCTGAGAGTAGAGGTTGTCGGTGTCGGAGTCGAGCTGCTTGCCAACTTGGCGATAGTCTCGCGGGGTACGACCTGTTTCCCTCTGATCGGTCGCATGGCAGCCATTCGTCGTAAGTCTTCCGCTGCTCGCTGGCTCGACTTCTTCCTGGCTTCCTTGCGTTTCGCTTTCGCCGAGCGACCAGGACGTGCACAACAGCTGAAAACAGCGCCCATGATGATTGTCGACTGGGACTAGGAGTTTAGCAAAGCAAGACTGCCGCACTAGTGTGCACCACATGCACTGCTATTCGCACAAACATCGACTTTGACTTCGACTATGAATCTCTCTATCTGACCACGAGTAACAACACGCGACCCAAACTGGGCCAAAGCAGCAGTGCCAGTGGGCCAGTGTTGTAGTGACGGAACCACTCAGCCAGCCATCCAGCGTGTCCAGACTACGTAGAGGCAACAAAGGAAACGAGGGTGCCCGGCCCAAGTACAATGACTGTATGACTATGGCAGTATGGGTGAATTATGTATGCTGCTCGGCCCCGATATGGCTCTTCCAAGCTTCCCACAAATGCCGCGCGCAGTGTGTCACGCACGGTCGGTGCTGGCACGATGTTGTTGGGTGACCTGACCTAGTGACAGTGCAGTGCAATAGTATAGTGCAGTGTGATACGACTCACGTACACGAACATTTGCCACTTGCACCAAATTTCAGTTGTCGCTGCTTACCAGGGTTCACTCCGCATTGACATTGTACATTGTCATTATGTTGTACACGTGTATGCCATTCCACAGACTAAGGCCGACCTCACTTTGCTCACGGTTGACACTGACGAGTTGGAGTGTCACACTAGACCAATACTGGCAATAGTGCTAAGGCCATCAACACTGGTACTAGTACCACACTCCGATGGTAGCGCTTCGCTAAAGACTAAAGTCACACAGGACGATCACAACTTTGAAAGAACGACGTGGGGCTGCAACTGACACTTCCCTAGCCTGGATGCCCCGGCCCTTGGCTTTGTCGAGCATGAGCAAGCTCAACAAAGCCATCAGCAGACCGTGCGTGGATCTACGGCGTGCTGGACGAACATACGCGTGCTGGGTGCACGCGCGACTCGTTCTCATGCTACTTACCCGAACGCTATGCACTCGTCCGACAGAAGATCCGTCGCCCGACTTTTCGCGGTGGTGAGCCCCATTGCCCGGGGCCGGCGCCCAGCACTGGCACTAGTCACTCTCTCTCATCACTGCCGACATCAGTCTCAGTTCTGTTTGCGGTATCCGCTGTGTGCCACAGAACACTGGACAGAGGTAGTCACCAGTGCAGTGAAACCTCTGACAGGATGAGATCTCGAGAGAGCAAAATGGGCGTTTACTTCCCTGGTGGTGACCGCGTACCCACACAGCTCGTAGGTCTACTCGTAGACACTAGGCACCGTTTGTCACGAGTAACGTAGTCGTTAGCTCGTAGATCTGGATTATAAATTAATACACAAGACAATACTTTCATTGTAGTCATTGTAGTACGTTTTGTAGAATTAGAGGACAGGACGGGGAGTCGTGCATTGCCAGGGATCGGGGGCTGTGCAGTGTGCGTCTCCTTGGTACTGTGTCTGTGGTAGGGGTAGGCGCTAGGCCGGGTTTCGTGTAGCCGATGATGGGAAGTCGATGCTCGCTCGAGTCGCTGCGCGACCTCTATCTCTGCCGAGTGATCGTCAGAATTACACTTTCAAGGTCACACTCATGTTTACCCACTCTGTTATCATCATCGGTTCCCCACTCGGTTTATCTTTTTAAACTTGTGGTGAATGCGCCGGAGATTGGAAGTGAGCCAGGCCTCTGAATAGCAGGGGTATCTGGAAGTACAATCCCGGCTGCACACTAGTAGTAGTAGTAGTAGTCGTCATTGTCATACAAGTACATGTTGTACAATGTACATTGTACCCGTCCCTCCGGCTCCCGTGCGTTTGTTGCTTATCGTGTTCATGTTGGTTTTCGTTTTGTGCATGTTTGTTTTTTGTTTTACTCTTTTTAGGGAACACAGCCCCATGCAGTGTGACCAGTCGTGTTGAGTGAGGACATTGCAGACCGTGCATTAGCCCTTGACGGATAATGGTCGAAACCAACCTTAAGGCAGGTACTTCCTTGAATTCTGCTCCATTTCTTTAGTCACATACCAAACATGCATGAAACCTACCAGAAACGGCTACCAAATTCTGCCCATTTTTCTGCTGACAATATCCGCCAAAGGCTACCGTGCCATGCACTCGGGGATCATATTCGGATTAGCGATTAGCCACATGCAATGCATTTCGCAGCATGACTGCTTGGTATTACATAATTATAATTCTCTTAGTTCGAAAGCTCCCCAGATCCCCGCCGTCCAGGGTACCAGGGCATG